AGAGGATGGTAAAATGATATTTTCATTGCAACATCTCTGTTGAGAAGGCAGTATAATCATAGTTATTAACATTAAATCCTATAGCTTTTTCTCCCATTCTGAGTTCAAAGGATGACTCAACAGTAAAAGATGGAGCATTACTTTTTAAATGGAGGAAAAAGACGACCAATCAAATGCAGAGTGGTCAAAGCTGAGAAGAAAGGGTCAATAGGCCGTAAAAGCCATTTTCGAAATCATAAGTCAAAAAACACTTAATCCTCAAACCAGTAAAAGTGGTGTCAATCTAGCCACTTCACGGCCAATTTGTACTACCGCCCTATGGCAAGGTCTTTGAACCATTTTTGTAAACTCAACCTTTCACCGTATTATGAATAATGTGTTCCTTCATAAAGCTCTGACTTATTATGACTTCATCGAAGACTAAGAACGCTGCACAGCAAGTAAAGTTTGAAAAGCTGGGCAAATTCTTATCCAAAGTTGGCACAGGTAGACCAACAATTGTCACCATTGGGAATTCCTTAAGCAATTGTTGAGAACCGTTTTAAGGAAAAGACTGACTTTTGCCCGTTCGAACTTACCGTCGGGCGAACAGTGGTTACGTCAACATGAAACTCGTATCAAGAATTTATTATAACTTCGCCCATGCTATCAGAAGAATGAGGGTGTTTCAACAAGACATCGGTAACCAAAGCATGAATACACGGAGACGAGGAGCCACCTTAACATTCAGCACTGAATTGCCTGAAGATGAAAGAACACTTAAGCTTGCAGTAGACCTACGAGTGGAATCGGTTACCGTAGAACAAGTACGATGTCTTTCTTTGGAAATAGGACTTGATAAACATCAAATTCAGAGATGGATTATAAGCGGCTGATTTTTTACACATCAAAAGCCAAATATGGGCACAAACCAAGGAAAAAGGCAGATCTATGTGGGCAAATTTATACGCCCTTGTTTCTGCTTCTTAAACGCATCTCTTCTATGACAAAGCTGCTCACATGAAATCAGTGAATAAACAAAATTTTGAAAACGAAAAGCTTGAATTATAAATGATTTTAGCCTTGTAGATTTCAGTGATCGAAATCCACGTAAGCAAAGTAGGGAAATAGGATTAAGTTGAAGAATTTGGTTAACACATTTACTCCCCACATTGGGTAAGATGTTCCGCAGAGGTGTCAACAGGGGCAAGTAATGAAAAACTTCATTATGCGACGACTTACCCACTGGTGAGACAACTATCGACATGTTAAAGTAAAAATGATACATTAACTGATTGCAAAATTTTTTGACAAGGGATGGTAAACTGAAAGTACGCTTACTAGAAATAAAGTAATATTTAGAATGTCCGCAATCAGAACCCTAGGAAAACTCGACCACCAGAGTCCAGAGATTTGATTGCTCTAAAATGACATCACCAGCTGATGATTTCCTAAACCACTTCACTCACTACTCGAGAAATTAAGAAATGTAGGTGTCTTCAAATCAAAAACATGACTTTTATTATTTTGGTCTCAATCAACGTTTGCAATACGAGTTGATTAGCTGACAAAGAACGCGTCGCATATTCGCGACACCGGGTTTAGATAAGGAAATTGGAGGTGGTAGCAAAAAAAATGACTCTAAAGGAAGGACAGCGCACAATATGCAATCGAGATGATGAGCGACAATACCAACAACCACTAACTTTCTTGAAAATGAAAGTGCAAGACATCTTGTGTTGCCATGAGATATCGCCAGCCAACGTACCTCTTGAAGCAGGTCCTGCGCATCAACGTCCCTCAGAATGCCATCCTTACTCGTCTCCTGCATCTCCCCACAGAGCACCAACTCATCCAACACGTAGTAGGCTTTCTCGAAGTGGAAGATGATATCGAGTTCACAGACCTTAAGGAAAGAATGCACAAGCCACAGTCAACAAAACCATTGCTTTATCTTACTTTTGTTAAAGATGTGGAATTGAATGTTTTTTTCTGATGGAGATTACGCAATTGAAACTATTTTTTATCTTAAATCCTTTTTATATTTGCTAAGGGACGGTTGCATACGAATTTGCACGGAAGATTCCTGCATATGCATATTTAAATATCCGCAGTGGTTTCCACTGCCGACTCAGTAGCTGTATTGTTACAATTTACGAAAGGTTTAGTAAACGAGGGATAACGGGCAAAAGTACACAGGATAGGACTCCAGAAACCTCTACATTCAAGCGTCAAAACATTGCCAAACTGAAGCCATGGCCTTTAATTGGGTCGAGCGGACATTTAGGGAACTATGACCTATCTTTTGGAGCAACGAGTGCTCCAAGCATTTGTAAACATTAGTCCAAAATTAAGGTGTGCAATGCTAGCTTGGCAAGTTGATTTTTTACCATAATCAACACGTCACATGCATATCAAACAATTAGCTGAGAGATGATTTAAATTGGAAAGAAAAAAAATAAAAATAACCGTTATCATTTTGGAACAACAAGCGCATTCAACTACAGTGGGCGATGTTTCGTTAAGGCATTAGAAATTAACATATTATGGAAAAGGGAGTTTGTTCTTAAAAGAGAAATTACCATCCACAAGCAACACCGTCACACTTCAAATATCTCCTACTAAGTTAAAGTAAAAATAATCACCTCTTCGGATTCGGAGGTTTTTCAAAAGTACGGAAGTGATATTACTAGAGGACCATTGCTGATTCTCACAAACGGCAATTTAATCAATTCTCGCCGGTTAAATGAGACTTAATCGTGCTAAGATCATCCAGGAAGTCATGAAAATCGGCATTGAACATCTCTAGTAACAGTAACATCAATTAATTAAAAGGTTATAATTGTTACAAGAGGTTTCTTGACAAAAATCCAACTACCTGGGGAACTTTCATAAATACTGTAGGAATAAAAAAGAGTCCAACGTCCAGGTATAACACCCATTCAATAACGGAATTGACTAAACAGAATATTAAAAGCGATATTTTTAAATAAAATCGGAATTAAAAAGGGCAAATATGGCATAAACCAAAGTGGTAGCACGAAATACCGAAACAAGAACGAAAGAGCCCAGTAAACATATTCGCGAATTAATGAAATGAATTATTTAGGGTTGCGTAGAGGAAACGAAGTAAAATGGGCAGCCATTCGATAAAAAAGGAAGGAAAGTTTGAGAACTAATTTTGAATGCTTAAAAATAATGCGTATAAAAAGAATATGGCCTGACTCAAAAGCGCGTAAATGTTGGATGATGGGTCCGCTTGTCACCAATACCTTATGCATAATTTGTTCTACGAGGAATTTTACCAAATGACGCCACATGCACAAAAAATTACTGTCGACGAATGAAATCACGTGCGGGGTTAAATAAGATCCCTGCAGCCAGGAACGTGGCAGATATCAACCATATCTAAGCATGAAGCGTCGCAATATGCTTGGCATTGTAAATAATACAATTTTGAAAAACAGATACCCAAATATGCGGGCAACGAATCCAGCAATTTCTATGCCTTAGACGACTTGAGAATAAGTCTTCTGATAGGTCACTCAAATAGCAACAGGGTGTGCTGTTGTGAATGTAATAAAAAAACACCGAAATGATTAGAAAACGCCGAAAGGGTGAAATTTTAAAGAACCATTAAAATGGGGCCAAAATTTCTGCACAGCTAATTAGAACACAAGGTAAGGCAAAAAACGAGTTTAGCGCAAAGACCAGTGCGTTAGAGCAAGCCATATTAAAAATCTCAATACCTTTAACGTAGGTACCGCCTGACGTATTAATGCTAATTACTTACGCTCCCGAAATAGCGATCCAGTATCTCAACATATCGATGCATGATTTCAAGAGTAATTAGTTCATTGTCTTCTGGTTCCACCACACAACAAAAGTAAAGACTGGCATACCTAGAAGGAGTCATAAATACTGAATCACCAACCTCCTGTAAACAACTTTTTTGTCACGCCAATCTAGTACTGAACACATCTTTGGCCTTCTGTTTAGAACCACAGGAATTATATCACGTATTATCTTCTTCTTTTCTTTTTCAGGATAGGATAAATACCATTTTTGAAGGCGGACTTTTCCTTGCCTGCTGAATAGGAGGAAAAACTGAATCTATGTTGAAAATGAGACAACAGGCGTCAATCACACCATTTGAAAATATCCTGATAAAGGGGTAGAGGCTGTAGTATGTGGATGGAATGCTTTGATTCTACTGGAGAAAATACAGACCAACTACCGGCTAGAAACGCATAGCCCTGAAGAAGTTAAACCTAGCACTGCAAGCGCGACCTTGAGCCGACTCTTAAAATGCGCCGTGCCTTATTAAAAAGTATTGGTTTCTATTAAAATAATCTATGCTTAATTACTCTATTTCACAGTCCCGGCTATATGTAGTGAATCATCTATCGTCAGTAATTTGCGTGATTGACTACTTTATTTGCAAGGTCAGAAAGCATTGCAACTTTCTGCTTATATACTATTCATATCACTATACTAGCATTACATGTTTACCATACAAAGATGAAACCTCGCTGCCATTAGTTAAGTTTTGATCGGCTCTGTGGTCTACCGCTATCCTCTGTACTTCTCCAACTGCTGTCATGCTTCACATGAAACAGTTCATTCAGTAGAAGCCTCCTTGTCGCCACCATTGCCTCTAACCGCAGACGTCCAGAACTCCTAATTCATTGATCCCATCAAATGCTTAAGACCCGGGGGAGACATTTACGCGTGAGCGAAGGACTGACTGGGTGCCGTCGACGTTAGGCCACCGCCATGCATCACCCACTTACCTCCATGCTACTAGTACCTAGTGTGACACCGCGCTCTGCGCCAGGCGGCGACCGAACCAGTTGAACAACCATCCCCCGTATGCAACGGCATAGCACCCATTTCCACAACTCCAGCCTTACCATGCCCTCTGACGCTGTGGCGCGCCTTAAGTACAAGTGAAAAAACTTTCGCGGTGTTTACAGCAGTTCATTAGCTGCATGTTTGCAAAGTACAAGTATGTACAAGACCTAAGATGTCACCCTCTCAGCTCCAAAGTATTTAGGCAAAATGTAAACCAGAATTGGCGAGTCTGCTGGCAGAGCCAGCTGTGATTTCTCCACAAATGTACCTGATTGGTCGGAGATTCTTGTAATTTGGCAGTCAAGAGGGAGACGGCCTGTAAAGAAGTCAATAAGGTTTTGATGCAGTAAGACCTTGTGAACTATTACAAATGAAAGAAAATCGGTTCTTCACCTATGCTCAATTTCTACACACTTTTCTACTTAAAAAATGAACGGAAGGCACGTTTTTTCATGAGCATGCCGTAGCGAAAGCCGTTCGAAGAGCAAACAACAAGATAAATAAGGAATGGCACTTGAGACAAAATAATTGAGTTAACTATATCAAAAAATGAAAACGAATTATTGAAATTACCCCCAAACACTCCCCAGTAAACGAAACGACATCATGATGAAATCGTCAAGATAGTCAACACTTGGAAGAAATCTTAAACCAAGTACTTAAAGCGCACTCTATGAAACGCAGAATAAGAAAGCTGTGGACACAAAGAACCATAGGATCAGAAGCAAGACAAATAAATGGCGAAATCCAAAAATTTGTAACGAAGTACTTTTGTTTACCAACCGTGGAAGACTAGGTCCACGGGCTACAGTAAGGAATAAACAAAACACGCAAATTCGTAAAGATAAGGGATATAAACTGAGAAGCCAAAGCTAACTTTTAGCCAAAACAAGGTGGTACGAACACTTCGCGTAGAAAATTGAAGTTACTAAACTGAACAGTTATCCGAAGTGGACCGGAAGAACTCACCAAGGAAGTAGATACCTCTCTCCTTGGCTAGGGCCTCCACACCACCAGAGGCGAAGAGATAGATCGACTCCTTGCAGTTGGGACACTCAAATCCACTCATGTTTTCAATCAGCCCAACCACAGGAATTCCAACTTTACTGCAAAATGTCAACTGCCTTCGAACATCGCAAATTGCCACCCGCTGTAGGGAAATATTATTAGCAACACACCAAATACAGAAAATAAGTCGAGTCAAACAGGAGGTACTAACCTGAGGCGTGCTAACAATGATAGCACCTCGTAGACGGTCGATCGCGTATTTCCGAATTTTTTCGACCACAGAAATATGTTCATCCGATGTGCCAGGAGGTGTATCAATTACCAAGACATCCAAATAACCCCAACAAACCTTTGAAAGAAATTGGTCGATCATAGCATCTTTTCGTGGGCCACGCCACGCGACTGCAGAATCTTTATCAGACACCAGAAAGGCGATCGACATAACAAATATGTTTTTTGCCACCTTGTCCGCCACGACGGGGAGCCAGCCCTCGGAACACTGCTGAACCTGAACCGGAGAATAGACGTGAAGAGAGCAGAAATACATTTGCGTCGCAGAGTCCCATGATTCTGGGAATTGAGGGTCCGCATAGATCCAAGTCCAAAAGTCCAACCTTGAGGTTCTGGTTGGCGAGCCCCATCGCTAACCGGCAAGCTATGGTGGACTTCCCGACCCCCCCCTTGCCCGAGGTTACAATAAATATATTCTCTACAAGTCCAATACCACAATTCATGTTGTCTAGTGAAGAGGAGATAAAAAAGACAAGTAGAGTAAAAATAAATGCGCACTAAAGCAGAAAAAATAGCAGATGTAGATAGAAGACAAGGAACTTTATTTTAGTAATAACAGGAACGCCGAACATTCCTTGAAACCTCGTTAAATTCCCGTCCACTTTTATAATGGGTACGATGAAGTGGGGATCTATCGCGCGGCGAAGAATAGGGACCCGGCACATACCCAGTTTGATAAGAACAGTTGCGTCCATTACGTAATCGGGGGACGGAGTATGTTGGAGTGAAAGTCATCTGCATCCTTGGCACGTAATCCATATTGTAATTCGGGTAGCGGTATTCGGGACGATGACTAAATTCACGGGACTCATCGGGAGAATTTGTAGAGTAACTTAGAAGGCAAGTGTACGGAGGATATGACTTAATTGGATAATTTTCATACTTAGAGCCCTGACGAGGTTTAATTTTTAGCTCATAGTTGTAAAGTCTAATTCCTTCAAACAGTGAACATGCATACAAGACTGATTCTTCGTCCTCATAAGTGACGAAGCCATAGCCATCCTTCAGTGATACATTTTCGACGGGTCCAGCCTGAAGAAAAAGCTCGTAAACCAAAATCTCTGTGGCTTTTGGCGGGATATTAGATACATACAATGTCCTGTCTACCTCCATAGCTTATGAGTCTAGACGAAACAAGCGGGAACCATCCCAAGCCAATGATGCGGTTGAGGAAGTAACCACTAGAACAAGCATCACTGTCACCGAAAGGACAGATAATACATAGCAAGATATTTTGTCCCGAATTCTTGAGCAAGTAATATTTTAAAATATCCTAAGCTTTAAAACCTAAAACTATTTTAGCATCATAATGGCCTTCTATATTATTTCTTAGTTAATAACAAATCATGCTAGCAATTTAAAAACCTTCTAAAAATCTTGCGAATATGATAGCTATGGATATAACTTAAAAATAAACTCCTCTTTCTTCATTTGATTTTTCGTACAAAGATTATACGCATGTATTCCTAATTATTTCAAATCTAAGGTCAAATTCCTCAGCACTGAACTTCATTCAGTGGTTTTGGGTGCACTGATCCCAAGAATGGGGCAGAGTGGAGTGGTTTTTATGAAGCATTTGTAAACTAGGATATTAAACGTGATTTTTATTTCGCACTGGCTACAACGGAAAGTATCGTATGCGACTTTATCAACGATAGGGATTCAATTTGTCGATTGTGAGTATTTTGAAGGAGGTTGTTCTAAAGTGCTTAAGGCAAAACTGCTACATATATGACTTGATAGCTCATCTTTCAAGACAAGTCGTCTGACCTGGTAACCTCCCATCAAGTTTTAATTAGTGTACCATTCTGTAGTAACACTGCTTTTCACACACTAAAAAGTAGATTTGGTCGATTTTTTACATTTAAATGGGGCGTTAATATATATCTGAAATTGTATTTATTGGGTATTAAATTGTTCTCAAGTTAATTAAACGGTATTCACAAGTTTTGATTCATAAACTAAAGAGCCTTAGCATTATTTGGGATTATGAGGAAGCAGAAGGTTGGTACAACTATTAACCTAAGTCTCGTCAATACCTTCCTTTAAAAATTTAGGCAATGCCATGACACTCGCGCGCCATATTGAGGCTCCATTACCCTTTTAATAAATTTTTGACACAGGGAGATTTAGGTGTGTACGTTACGCATTCTATTTACATATTTGCCAGTTTCTCCAGTTGTGTAATGGTGCCACTAAAAAAAGTTATCCCGCCTCCTTTTGCCTCCATACGTGTATCCGAAAATAGTCAAATCAGCTCCAAGCTTACGGAACGAAACGATGTTTTGTGGGGTAAGTCACTGAAATGTAATTGTGCAAAGCTAAAATTGACAGCCGACTTCGACTACTGCATGGAAGATTGAAAAAGAGACCGCTAAGCAGAGGGATGGGACTTAATTAAAACCCCTCAAGTCGGAAAGTGGTATTAAGAATATGGGCCATATCATATCATTCCTACACAATGTCAATTCGTTTCGGTAGTATTAGGGGTGCAGATACCCAAACCAGTACTGAAGTATTTACATCCCTTGTCACCTTCTTCATATATTTGCCAATTGCATGTGTACGTCCGATTCCTGCTAATTTTGCCATACCAGGACTGGTCAAAGGCGAACGGCCTTCTCGGTCTACGAACTACATCACAAAGGCAAGAGTGGAGCGACAAGTTGGTGCGCTGATTTCCCCACCATTCTGTCCTTCTTATTCCTTTCATTAACATAGTTTGTGGTGTAAAATATTGGCAACGGAGAAGTCTTGACCCCGCGGCAAGAGTATAGTTAGTGAAAGCGCTTCAGTGATTACTCCGATATGAGAAATTTTAATGTCACAGATTACCCCAGTACGATGAAACTTGCCAAACATGATAAGATGGTGGGAGGTAATGAAGCGGTAAATGATGAGGTGAATGTTGTGACTAAAGTAATAATTTGACGCGGGAATGGTCTCTCTTAAAAAAGTCCTCACTGACCTAACCCAAACTTGCACAGTGGTGATGCAATCGCAGAGGTGTCCCGCGTTAGCCGAAATAATTAAACAACAGTACCTTAGCATAAGAGACGGCAAATCCCCCAGGCGTTTTATGGGTAAAACGAAGCTCAAATGATTGCGTTTCCTAAAAAGCAATGGGACACATTCTTTGTGATTGTTTACATCTCGTCTGCAATTCGGTGATTTTGATTGGTGGATAAATAAAGAAACTTGGGTTGTCTTTAACTTTGTCTAAGGTTTAGGTATCTAGGTTAAAAGTGATTAAGAGCTTTAAAAATGCATTATTAATTATACTCTAAGAGAATTCTTGCCAATAAGAAAGAGAAGGTGGATCAGCTTCTTTACCTTCACACATCTACATTAAAGTGGAGGGGAGAGGAAACCGCTCATCCTCACTGATTCCGACAAGCATGGCATCGTCAGGTCTATATCCATTGCAATGGGCCACTCACATTAAATTGCCTAAGTCACAAAGACATGGAAGAAAACGAAATTGATTTTAAAAATCATGAGTGGGGTTTAGTGAAACAGCAAATTTCAACCTCACTGGTGGCTGTTCAACTAAGATCGGTCGCGAGATTCATCAAGCACTATCTGAAGCGATCCCAAAACCACAAACAATCTCGTATTTAATCATCTTGATCTCGTTGCTACCAAAGGGCGCGTTTAAGAGTTCGAAATTGCTAGGAGTACTACCAACGCTGTGTCCGCTTCCTGCCGTTCAGCGCGCCTTTGGATCTCTTCTTATCCCCAACTCCCAACTTCCAGTAAGACTCTCATTATTCCATTGAGAAGGCATTTAGATAATGGAAGTTAAAATCGTCAATGTTGTTTCTTTTGAGGGGATGCCTAGGAACAATAATTTCTTGATCACATGGTGTTGAAAGAGAACGATATTTATCTTACTTGGGCCTTTAAACTGTCCAGGCTCTCTAATATCCGTCGGCACAGGCAGCCGTTCCCCTGCACAGCCTCTCACCCCTTCCACGTGGCTAAAACAGCGAATTTTCCATATCGAGTGACTAGTTTGCAGTTTCAAAGGTGACTCCCGCCGCTATCGAGAGAACACGACGGGGCGAGGATTTGTTCTGCTGCTCACACAAATAAACAGGAGTAGAACTGCTGCCATTATGACCTGAGGTCATGCATTCAGCGATATCACTGACATATATTCTACGATATCGCGCAAACTTTCCGACATCTTTATTCAAAGCATCTTCATATTTAAATAAGAGCAACTTGGATGACGCATTAAGAAAAGCATGAGGCAATTTGAAGTTGGCTGTATCAGTCTACTTGTTCGCTTTCATCCACTTTCATGGGGTTGTGCAGTAACAGACATGGTAAGAAATTCCGACAGCAAAATATACGCATATCCCCTGTGACTACATTAACGCATTACTTTCTTCTCGGCTCAGTTTTTCTAGGATTGGCAGTGTGCCAATGCTAAAGCAACAAAGCTGTAGGGGAGTGGTACGGTAATGGCCGTTTTAAGCCGTTGCTTAGATGGTAGAGACACAAATTAGCCGGTGTCAAATCCATTTTACCTGCTTTTAATACTCCAATCACCAGTCCATTGGAAGGAGCTCCCCTTGTGCATTCAGTCTGCCATCCCCATGGCCAATTTTAATCTACCGAAATGCATGCTAAAATTGACAAGTTAACATACACAATTACTCAAATTTTGTCGTACATTCAAACGCCGCCTGAGTTTGAATAAATATGCATTAGAGTTCCAAACTTCCATAAAACGTTAATGAAATGGTACTTCACATTAGTTCCACGAAATCTCCTCACTTTCTGTGGACATCCCGAATAATGCTGATTGGCCAATCAAGGAGTAGTGAGGTGGAGATCACGCTCACTCGGAGCTGTTACAATTCAAAATCTTCTACATTTTACTGCTGTAGGTAGACCGAGATCGCAGCATTCAATTTTCTGCAGGCTTTTTGAATGTAGAGTCACCTAGTTGCAATGCTTGCCCTGCGTACTGACGTGAATGGCGCAGCCTTCTCGTGTTGTTACTATGGCGATACAGAGTTGAGCTTGCATCCTGGCACGTTGCAATACTCAGATTCGGGTAACAAGTTATAAAGAAGGCCACTTTGTCAACCTTTACTGATCCTAAACTTTTATTCAGTCGGTACAGGTTTATCAGGCAAAACTCGATCATAGGTGCTCTAAGATGTAAGTACCATCTACTACAAAGACTAGTGCGTGCGTTAATCACGACAAAATGCTATTAATTTATAAATGCAGTAGTAAACACACAACCTTTAACTAAATAATTAACTTTGGTGGAAAATAGTGTACTTCCCTCAGTAAATTCTACATTACGACGTCATTTAGTTGTTATCAAAAGGTCTCAATGGTCAATAGTGCTTCAACTATGATAGTCTCTCCGATGCAGTCGAAAGGTTGATTTTTATGGTTGAAAGGGACTGCTGCTGTGAACACAATTACTTGCCTGCATGCGCTGTGTTAAAATGTGTATTTTACCTTACCACCAATGACGACGTGAGGGCGATGTCGCGGGGCGTCTCTGCAGTACTGACAAGTTTTCTGTCTTGAAGCTTTGCACGCATTGGCTAAACACTGCAAGCAGCGATTTCTAAATTCCAACATTAGTGATAACATCCCTGTCTACACCAATCTCTCGGCAAATGCACTGGCATATTCTGCCTTCTAATAGCTTTTCGGCTGTAACCCGTTATATGAAATTTGTTTCTTGATTTGAGGAGGCTAAATCTGAAATCTTTGTACATACTACGATACCTCACTTTACAAAATGAGATGAAAATAAAACATTATAGTGGTTTATACTTTCCACTTAAGAAGCCTAGTTCAATTCGTAGGGAGAACGAGGGATAAAATAGAAGGCCATTTGTCTTGCTCAGCATTCGAGGGTCCGTTGGCAGTGCGCGAACGGGGGGACGTTGAAGGCAGTATTGCATTGGGACTTCGCAATACCGACCTTTAAAAAAAACTTTATTCTGATATGAAGGAAGGGAATTTATGCAAACTGCCAGTACTGCATCCATATTTATTCATGGCCTTCGTTGTATATTCCCAGACTTGATAAAATGTTGACTTGAATGAGAAAAGGATTAGTCTGGTCGGTTTAATTTTAACACATCCACTTATTGCTGTTTTCAATTGCACTTAAACAAACGAAAAACTCCGAAGGAGAGGTTGATGTGACTACTGGCTTGGCTAAAGAGGTGTCCAGATAGCACAGGTTTTGAAGTTCACCCAGCTTAGGTTTTTCCGTCCCCCTTTGCAAGAGACGCAGTTTGCAAAAGTGGAAGTGATGCTGACGTCCTCATTTTGACTTGGTGAATCCAATTGTACACATAAGGGATAGCGTGTCAGGCGATTCGGGGAGTTACTTCACATCGCCCAGATATGAAACGTGACAAAACTTTCAGCAGCGTACAGCACAAGCAGTTCTCACAATTTATCCATAACCTTTGGCGTTAGTCTACCCAGATTTGGGTTACGTCGGCGAAAATACAGTCTTGTCACCTTGTGTTGATTACAGCGCAGTTTCAACGGGAATCTGAAGGCGAAATTGGCCACCTTGGACTACGATAATGGATTTTATGAATACCATGGCACTGCAGTGTCGATATTGTTAAGAAAAAGTGAATTGAAGCACAAATTTCGAGTCAGCTGCTTGACCTCTTATTGCGGAAAAGTGTCCACTCTGCCGTTGGAAACGATGTGATGCTTCGTTGTGGAGCATGTCAACGATCAGAGGGGGCACTGCCGGAGGATAGGCTTCCAAAAGCAAGCTTTAAGTGCATTCTAGTGTTAGCATAACAGGAGATGAGTAGAACCCCAAGAAAGCTCCCGGTCATGGTGTAATTAACGTTGTTAGGATCTTTACGAAATCGGGACTTTTGTACAGAAGGACTAGGATCAGACTCATGAGCATTTCCGTGTCAGTGCCTAACAGGCTACTGTAGAGGTAGAAAGATTTGATGAGCATCAGTTTGTTTTCTTTATAGAACACCCCTTTAAGTAAAATTCAACAGTGGCTATTTTAAGGGCAATTCCTGTAATCTGCTTTCCTTTTGTCTTGTGCCTTATGATCGAAAAATTGGCTAAACTATACGGATGGGCTGATGCATCACCATTGCGCTGCACTGAAGTCGTAAAGCACTGTCTGCCGTTTACAAATGGATGAACATCAGTGAATTCAAAAATCATCTTGTGTCTTCCTAGTTGTAGTCGTTTGGCATGATTCCTTAATTTTATGACCCTTAGATTGGATCCGACAACTCTTATCTAAAGTAGACCGTTTGAAATTCTCGAAAATGCAAAATGGAACTGAATTTGGAGAAATGAAAAGTCAAATTCACCAAGCACACTCCTGATATGCCAGATTGCCTAAAAACTAGAAAATTGGCACAATTAGTGTGGGGAAACATGTTTTGGCTGTTGCGATTTAGCAGCAGAATTCTTTCTTCCTTTAAAATAAACAAAGGTAAAAATCAAGCTTGTTTGACAGGGAATTTCGATACTGAGGGTTCAAAAGCAGCATAGAATTGTGGCCATCTGCGAATAAGCACATCAAGATCATTCAAAAGTCCACCGCACCATTAGCTCACAAGAGCGATGAGCAACGCCTTGTTCAATTCCTAGCTACGGCTTAGACCTTGTCCACTTCCTCCTTCCTCTTTGATTACACTTCGGACTACGTTGAAATGTATTCTGCCTCTCTGCTTGACGTCACACCTGTGAAAAAGGGGTCCATCATCGTGGAAAACACACCTGGCTCCTTTTGGAGAATTTCGGAATTACTACTAATATTCGCCATTTTGCTTTCAGCCAACCTTTCCGTCCTATTACCCGTAAGATTCACTTCAGTTCTTGCATTAACCAGCCTGATGTTTCACGAATTCTTCACTGACAGTTAGGGCCGATGTAAATGGCACATTCATAGCCTACCACTATTTTCTGTTTCGACAGCTTACACGTAGGTTCTTGATGCTGTTGGAAATGTTCTTGGGAGTGCCGTTGTGACAGAGACCTTCAAAGGCGGACAGGCCTTTACGACAGCAGACAGTGATTCTACACCTGATCACATCTCTCCCTCCACTTCTTCATTTTCATCTTTTTGTTCTCATTATTACAACAAACTGTCGGTAAAAGTTGGGATCCGGTGGCAAGGGTCTGATTGACTTCCCTCAGCTTCCATAGGGACACCTCGTGGTAAATTGCATGCGATGGTGTTTTCGTCTTACTAGATCGCCATACTGCACTCGTGACCAGCCGTTCTACCCGAGTGAATGAATGAAAGAAATGTCTCGATTGGATGTTTTCAGTAAGCTAAATTCTCCTTTTAAATTTTACGATTATCTTCTTGGTATTATCACGTTCTAGTTTTCCATTAGCTGGCATTACTGTTGCTTTAATCTCGAATTCAGGACTTTTTGAGACAAACTCTGTGAGAATTGAATAGAATCTCCGCAACGCTTCTCCAACTCCCTGTTGCTTAAAGGTTTAAATTCGTAAATGCGGTAGTCCTTGTGAGAAAATAAATCAACACTCCCAATTGTAAAGCCTGCGATTCAAAACATAACCCATGAAATTACGACAAATAGCCTCAAGAAAGCTTTTTGAAGAATGTACTAGACTGGTAATTAGTGTTTATTTGACTGTAAAGGTAGTGAATAAAGTCGGGCAAAAAACGGTCCGCCGGCGGTCACTTCCGCAAAACAAGAACTTCGTACCGCTCAACCGCCTTCTCCTCCCCGCCGTAGGGGATGTACGCGCATGAGTGGCCCATGTGGACCTGAAAGTGAAAACATTGGACGGCTATCTCAAGCCCCGAAACCGCATGAAAAAGTGGAGGGCATTTTGTCAAGTCGTTGCGGTCACTTGTGAAGACACAAAGAAGGGCTTTACTCATCACATTACCCACCTTTCCTACACACATTTCTCCCTGACATGGCGCCTTGCAAATATAGAGAGGCTCGCCATCACTTGCTATTCCGGCAATGATTGCATTCTTGGGCACATCGCCATCGCTATCTGCGACCCACTTGTAGCTGTCAAATGGGAAAGGCAAAACTACACATCCTTGCAAAAATACTGTGAGCGTTTACATAGTTAAAATCAGGAACAAAAAGTAAGATTAGTGACGAATGGCAATCCAAGCATGAATCGCCTTATCAACGGTACCTTGGCATAAAGCTTTACTAAAGGCTTTCAACAGGATAATTAAACTAAACTCTATTTTCCTCTTTACTCTGCATTGAATGTTTACCCTCCATCTTTTGAAATTTTAAATTGGCTGTCAGTAATTTGATGCCTGTAGACAGTGCAATAGCTGGGAGGTATATAATTTGAACTCTACCATGCGCCACCGCAAGTGACGGTAGTGTCGCAGAGAATTTCGCAAAACGAGACCTCATGCTCCTTCCCACCATACGGCAAGTAGCATGTCTGGTACCGTTGTACGTATTTGCCAGGAATCTTTTCACCACTCAACTCTGCCCTCGCCACGAAGATGCCATCGTCGACTTCAAGTGCACCAACCGGAATTTCGCGTCCACGCATAGGAACCCAGCTCAAGCCAAGCTGAAAACCCTTTCCGATTTTGGCCATTTTCTCCTGAAATTTCATTTTTAACACAAACGTTAGTGCATTTATTGATTCATCTTGGATGCAAAAATGTGAATAGGTAGTGGGAACCCTCAGTATTTGCATTCCAGCCATTCCATCATTGTTTATCCAACTAGCCGATTGAATTATCACTGTTCGGATTCGCAAACAAAGGGGTCCATCAGACTCATGTGCATCCCCTCTGCGATAAGTATCTTTGACTATCCGGGTAACCGATATAATTCCTCCCTTTCTTGCCATCAATCACCACTACAAGTGAACTCACCTGAACAGAATGCTATCATTTTCTAGTTACGGGTGACACGTCTTGTTTCATCTGATTTGACATAGCTCCCTACTTATAAAATCAAGTTGTAGTAGGTAGCCATTTTTTAGGGATAAGGAACACCCATTTGGCTTAGTAACGCGAACCTACACAATTCTTGTTTATCATCCTGCACAGCATCTGCAAATGAAATCAACTTACTGCTCAGCAAACAAAAGTGTATTTTATGAGTAATGAAAAAAGACAATACATCGGAAAAAATTCACAAAATTAAACCTACAACGACCGGTAAAGCCCATATTTTTTTTCCTCTCGATTGCACCGATTTTATATTTATTATGAATGAGCCATCAGTCTAGGTCTCAGGAATATACTAATAAACAATGAGGCAAAGGAAAGGGTTCCATAAAAATTGAAATCTCTCTATTAGAACTATTGAATGGGTAAAAAGACTACCAAACCGCTGACACCAGTAAAGGTAGGTGAACTCACCAAGTCAATTCCACCACCGCATTCATCAGCGTGAGTGCGCGCTTTATAAAGCCTCGCTTCGCCACGACCTTGAGGCCACCAGTCAGTGAGGTGCGTAGGTGACATTGGCGGCCACGTAGGGCGCAGGTGACCTTGGCGCGATGTGATGCAGTTTACATTTATTCACATCTTACCTTGCACCACACATCGCAAGCATCCAAATGGGCCTTCAAAGCAGCATCAGGCAGACCTAGCTCATCCTCAACTTGCCGAACTTAACTTTGCTGGTGGCTACAAAAGTGGTACCAACACAATGAATTCTGCCAACTTGACATAAGTTTTAAAATTCTTTCTTTAAATGTCAAACTTTGGCTTTTGGTTTGTACCTCTGTGGAATTCAAAATGAGGGCGAGAGTGCGTTCAAATTCGCTAAAAAGGAGAGAAGCAGCAATTCTGCTTTTTCGCCTAATGTTCGCGTCATGTGTTGTGATTTACTGAAGGCTGAAGTGTAGGGAAGTGGTTTTCATTCTACCGTAAGCTTTAATGGTGCTACCGAGAAAATGCACACAACCTTGTGCAATAGCTGGTACGTAGTCACTCCGAGGCGTTTCGTTACCATCTCATGGTGCCAAATGTTCAAACATGGCGAAAAAAGGCTAAAAGATGAAGGATGTGCTCTAACAGAAATAAAGCAATATAAAATGCTGAAATAATTATGAAAGGTTTCTGGTACATCCAAACCCTGCACCGCCTTAGTACCTGATCCTTAACATGTGCCTCCAGAGCCATATTATCGGCCCCGCTTAAAGCCAAATCCAGACGCTGTTGAAGAGAAAACGGTAGTGTGGGAGTCTTGGCATTTGCATAATCTTGCTTTAAGATTCCATGGCTGGGCAGTGAGATACAAACTTGCCAATTCGATGATTACCAAATGGCAAATGAGTTGCTTGTTCCAGCTTGTGTCGAAATCACAAGCAAGCACACATGAGTAATTACCTCGACGGTATCCCTGTTATATGTTATGAGCGTCTTAGATAAGATTTTAAAAAATTTGACTAGAATATTTGTTACTGAGGCTCCTATTTTACCACACTCCCTGTAAAGAGACTGTTATGGAGTGCTATTTATGTGCCTGAGCCAGAAATTGTGGCGAGCTATCAACCGAGGTAATTAGGAGACAAAGACCCCACTAAGGACTTCCTTACTAGCCGGCGGGAATGAGTTGGATGGTGGTATAGCCTATGCCATCTTAACGCCAGCCTGACTACCAAAAACATTTGAAGCCTATCTGTATGTGCCAATGACTCATCAGGTCAATTAAAGATGGCGAAAGTTTCGAGATAATCTAGAATGTGCATGGGGTTGTAAATGAATCTACCAATTCCTCTCGCAATTAAAAACCAGTAGCGGTCGCTTCATCTCACGCCTCCACCCACCAAAGTGCCGTTTCGATGTACAAAATCGACCAAGATCCACCTGAATCTTATACTACAGTCTGCCCATCAGTAGGATACCACTTTGTCTGCTGGTTCCGCATTGTGCAGCGGGCACAATCAGTGGCGATGCTTCATCTAGGCGTTCTTTCCGATTTTAACGTCAAACGAGTGCTTAGTGTTTGCACAAAATCTTTTCTGGTAATCGAATGAATGTGTCTCGGCAGATGATCGTAGGTGCAGACGCCAGTACCTGTTTTTAATTTTGTTGAGGCTTCTAATTTGCGACTTTTGAAGCCGTTTTGTGAGCTCAGGACCATCGCTGCTGTGACGGAGGTAGGCTTGCATCGGCTGGTGTTTGGCTACTTCGAACGCAATCGCCTAGATTTGTCTGGTACATCAGTAGAAATTTTTTTATAAGCCATTACTAGCAGTTGCCTCTTGCCTTCGTGATTTCAGTAGCGATCGCTTGAATGTCTCAACAAGCCGCTTTGCTTACCCATCAGACTGGGGTAAAGAGGTGGGAGCACATATTCGTAATATCGTCTTGACGACATTTGTAATGGGAATCTTATGGAGTAAAACGGATTCCGTTATCCATGGCCGACATCGCTTAGAGTCACTTTTGTCTGAATATCTAGTATATCACTTGCAGCATTTTGGCTGTCATGGCCGGGACCACCAAAAAGGTAAGAGACGCCGTCGATCAATTCGTCAAAGCCGAGGCGAATATGTGAAAATAACCCTTCCGTAACACCTTTTCGGGTCGCAGAGATGCCCGGTGGAGATAGGCATCTCGAACCAATCGCCGGGTACTGCTGGAAAAACCTAAACCCTATGACGTCTCCAAATCCCATGAAATGTGTTGCAAAAGCTGGCCATGGTGTGCCATCATGGCCTCGGGATAAAATCAACGCACGACGTTGATCGCAATGACTTACTAAAGGGTGTCTTTTTTGTTACTTTTCTTTGTGTAGCACTATCATGCATTCTTCTGCAAGGCATAAGTAAATAGATATGCTCTTTTTAAAGGGTACAGGACCATCATTCTGTGTGGTAAGAAAGAGGCGAAAATTTTGAAATGGAAACATTAAAGCATTTCGCGATACCTTCTAATCTAGAACTTAGTGCACTTTTTCGACTAGAATTGTCAAAATAAATTAGCTCTTGTATTCATTTTCGTTTAATTGATAAAACACTTGACAATAACAACTAGACTTTTTGAATCGCACGATTAGTGACCTATGGGAGGACATAACTCCTACACCATGGGCTACCGTTTATTCGGTCATGATCGCTTTAAATAATTCCACATTTTGCTAATTCATGCAGCAGGAGAATGTTGGTGCAAGGCTAAAATTTGATTTATTCTGTTTGGTTCGACATTACCAGGGGTAATCGAAAGGAGCAAAAAGTTACTGTAATACTTTGCTTAGCTGTTTAACGCCTCTTTTGGTTTCGCAGGCGCTTAAAGCTCTGCCTTTGTACTTCCACTAGGCCTCCGGGCCATGACAGTAGAGCTCAATCACTCTCTCTATTGATAATGCGCATTCCGCTCAAGTATTGCCTTCATTCGTTCTCCAGGAAGTCTTGAGACGCCACAATTACAATGCTACAATAGTACCATATCTTTGAACCTAGAGAATAATTTTGAGTATACTGCATCAAATCAAAAAACCCGACTTGGGCAAAGTATCACCTACTGCTGTAAAATAGTTTAGTGTAATACGATGGTTGTTTGTCTCCCGGCTTTAGTGAGGAGCCACTTTTGGTCTTTGTACCACGCCGGATTGGCTGGCCTTTGGGCCATGCCAGTAGCCCAAATACCTTCTCTGTGCCTAATATATGTATTCTGCCCGGGTATTTTGTCTACTTTCGTCTTCAGGGAAGTCTGGGGGCTGCCACATTACCAACTGCAATAACTCATATGAGGTCCTAGATGGTCGAGCATGCTAACCACGAAGGTGTTCATTCATTAGATTTTATTTCCCATCTTACTTTAACACTCTCAACGAGTATTAGTATAAAACTGGTCCAACACCCATCAAGTTGTTGAGAAGCCAACTGTTAAGCAAATTTATTCAAGATAATTCTCAAGGTGACACAGTGTATCTCCCCAAGACAGATCATATATATTTGATACGTAGAAGATATTAGGGTTACTAGCATGGCCCAAAGTCCAGCCCACCCGTCGAGGTGCAGTGGCTGACAAAATAGCACTTTACCAAAAACCGACCGCTAAACAAACAACCAACGTATTACAGTGTTATTTTAGTACACGAATACAGCTAGTGCAATTTAGTGTAAAAAATTAAGCCGATCTTATCAGAAGCTAATTAGGTAGAGTGCAAAATTCTACCAGCCCGAATTGACACAAGTCGTTGAATTTAATTTCGAAGAAATCGATAAGGTAAAGTAGGAGATAGCTAGTACGGGTTCGCCCTGACTAACCCGCTAGCAATTATTCTTGGATCAAAATATCTTGAACATACAATCCAAAGACATAAAATTTGGTTGACTAAATAAGAGTGGTTTACCGAATGTGCAACGGTAATGAGGGTGATTTCAGGTAACTCTTGAAAATTTGAAAATTGTTGATGCCTCACTGCTAAATTTCGTGTGAACCTAGCATCTTTCTCGCATGATATATTTAAATATTTAAAATTCATGTTTAAGAACAGCACCTCTTTAATCAGATTAATTAAATTTTGGCATTTAAATAACACGAATTTTAATTGATTTGTGTGAGTGTAAAATTTTTCGTGATCCTAGCAATCATGCATTATGCCACATGTTTGGCGACCAGATTGTTTCAGTACACCTACCAGCTGGCGTGCGCTGTGTGAATTTTGAGGTGGTTAGCATTGGACAGGTTTGAAGATGGCTGAGGATGGTCCTGTGTCCGTCAAACTGGTCCTTGTCGGTGATGGGGGTACAGGTAAAACAACATTTGTGAAGCGTCATCTGACGGGAGAGTTTGAAAAAAAATATGTCGGTAAATAGGTGGCATATTCTTATGGAATGTATTTTAGCAACATTGGGTGTTGAAGTTCATCCTTTATCTTTCCATACTAATCGTGGAGAAATTCAGTTTAATGTTTGGGATACAGCTGGCCAAGAAAAATTTGGTGGCCTCCGTGATGGCTATTATATTCAGGGCCAATGTGCCATCATTATGTTTGACGTTACCAGCCGTGTTACTTACAAAAACGTGCCCAACTGGCATCGTGATCTTGTTCGCGTTTGCGAAAATATTCCTATTGTTCTTTGTGGCAACAAAGTGGATATCAAGGATCGGAAGGTTAAGGCTAAGACCATTACTTTCCACAGGAAAAAGAACCTTCAGTACTACGACATTTCAGCGAAGTCCAACTACAATTTCGAGAAGCCTTTTCTCTGGCTTGCTCGGAAACTGTATGGTGATCCGAATCTCGAGTTTGTAGCCATGCCTGCTCTTCAACCTCCGGACATTCAAATGGACCAGAATTTGGCTCAGGCTTACGAATTGGAACTTCAAGTAGGCTCCGGTTTGCTTATCTATGCACACCTCTAGATGGCTGCCCAGGCTCCCTTGCCAGATGAAGGAGACGAAGATCTCTGAGCAAGTGCGTGTATGCATGCAACAAGTGCTGGGTGAAGTTGGTACTTGTCGGAGCGTCTTTATTTTTCTGAGTATAATGCATTTTCACCACTTGCTGTTATGTCAAATTTATATCAAATCCCGTGAAATAAAGATTCTTTGCGTGATTTATTACTTTATTTGCCAATTTTAGTCGAGATGTGGTTTTACGGTGTCGCGTGACATACATTCGTTTGGCTGTGCGCGCCCTGACTCGTGATCGATGCCAGTTACCTGCTGGCGATAGCGTTGCGTTTGTTTTCTGTATCAGGTGCGGCAAGTCCGTGCGGGAACAACGTTTGCTCTTCGGTGTGTGTTTTTTAGCGTTGAGCTCTGGTCTTTCCGTTAACCCAATTCACACCGCCGATACACTGCCTCGAAAATTAGGTATCCTAGGTCTGTCCACTCTTACTCCTTTTGCTGTTCCATGTGGCTACTGTGGCAGCATTGGTTCTTGCTGTCCTCCGTTTCGTCCGGTTTGCTGGCCCATAGCAGTCTGTTCGCTTCCAGTCATGTAAATAGTGGTAGTCGAATCTTTGATCCTTCATTCTGTTTCATTCAGCTGCTCTGGAGATCCCCATAATCTTGTTTTCGAACGATGCTGAGTTTGTTGCCAAGGTCTGAATGGACTTACCGGCATGGCTGAAAACCTGAGTAACAAATTTGCACGAAATGGTGCACAAGTAGGGAAATCAAACAGCCGGTTCATTTGCCTAACCAGGATTCCGACATCTCCATTGCAGTGAGAAGTGATTGCGCCTTTTATAACGCTAGAATCTCAACCGCAACTGCTGCTTTTGCATCGACTTACTGTCAAAAGTGAACAAGAAAATCTACAAAAGCGAGGTGGCTTGAGATTACTAGTGTCAGCTTCAAGACGCTTGAGGCAATTCTTCCCCAACTAGTTTATTCCGAGGGGGCGGGAGGTTATTCAAATAGAAAATCCGCAAGTATCAAGCCGCTACGTAAACTATCTGCCTTGTTTTGTTGCTTGTGAGATGTGTCTTGGTGTTGAGCTAATATAGTCGAGTACCATGGAAGCGCAACTATAGGAATAAATAAATGCACATTGTTTACGCGGGATCAGGCCTACTCGTCTGCCGTGTTGTACTTTTTGTATCACAGTAGTTTCGATGATGGAGAATGGTTACTGGTAAGTTATAAGTAAAGGGGTTTATAAGACATTGAAGCGATCGGAATGCAAATCGAGTCGCTTATACGGCGACGAAAGAAGGAGCCGAAGTGTTAATGCTTTACTTTATAGTCATTTAATTCCTCAGTTGAAATCGCATCCGCCCCCGCAACTTGAAAGAGAACTCAAAGATATTTAAACTATTTTTACAAATACAATCTCACCAGTTTCCCGGAAAATACTAAGGTTGAAATCGCCTCACCGTTAAAATAAATTATGCCAAAAGTAAGAAATTTTATTCGCAATGGTTCTGCGCTTACATTTCCTTTACATTTATTTTTACTAATATGTTAAATTTTTTATTACTGTTAATATACTATAGTAAATTTGCCAATTTGTTTAACTACTTATTAATAATAATATGCTTTGATGAAAAGAAACAAAATCCTCGTAAGTTAAAATAAATTTGCTTTAAGAAACTGTATTCATGCCACTCGACAAGACCCAATTCATATGTCTAAATGTTTCTTTTATTTTAACGAATAAATTGCAAGCAGTCCCTAAGGTCAACGGTACCGATTTCGACATTTGACCGTGCCCCCTGCCTTCTTGTTTTGTTTCTTGTTTTTGCCTTTAGAACCATTTTGAGATTCTTCTCTTCTTGAAGGCATCTTTGCAATCTAAATAAGGTCGTATTTAGTTGACGCGAATCTCATGTCCTAACTAGACTCAGTGATTTTTAATCGGCATGCCTGTCAGCGGTAATATAGTTGCGGAATCACGTGTGCATAATTTGGATGAGTTACAGGGAGTCAACACTGGGTAATCGTTCCTGCCACATTGTCTTTTTCTTTGTCACATGACATCTTTTTTCTGGGTTGGTTGGCGGTTTCCATTTCTTGAGCATTCTTCTAACAAGTTTGAGTCTGCGTTTACGCAGCCTAGTTAGGCCACACCCCTCTACCTTGGCAGCGCGCACATTCGAGAGTTCTACCAACTCCCGGCCTACAATTAAGGCCTATTTTTTGCCAGACGTTTGGTCTTATCGATGAGCTATAAGTAAATAGCATTTCATTGATCCTAATTTACCGAGAGATTGGCATAGAGTACTACTTATAATCCACGGGTGATGTTACCCTGTAATGAGTTTGTCTTCCTATTAAGAAAAAAAACAAGAAGAGGTAGACTGGCTCATTTTGATTAGAAGTGAGATCGATGATGCTTTAAGGTGGGTGTGGATGAGGTCGCGTACTCCATTAACAACTGAGGTTAAGCTGTCGTCAATCCTTTCGGCTTTACACACAGTTGACCCGGTCGGGTGCGTTGGTGAGTTAAGAAATTTTACATGTAGAAAATTGGTGGCACCTATAAGCATCCATGAGATATGATGCATCTGATGCAAAAATGCTTGCGTGGATTAGACTAAGTAAGTGATTTTGGCGAGGCAAATGTGGCAGAGGTCCGATTTGAGCTCAGTGTTTGTTTTAGCTTAAAGTCAAGTTTTTCTTGCACTTGTCTATGGAGCATTACCTTATTTTCTTGACTCAATGCAAATAAGTTCTTTAGGTGACGTAAAAATGTTATTTCCACTTATTTAAGCAGGCATTTTAACCCTTAAATTGACGTACACACCCGAGGTTACTTAACAGTCAGTCTATTAGAACACTTTAGATGGGTTTGAAAAGTGACGAGTCAGTTCTAGTATCGGAAAGTGCATCAATTTGAGTCTTCCGCCATTTCCATGCTCGAACATATCACATCCTAGGGTGCTTCAAATACAGGACTATCCAAACTCCGCTCAAGGTGACAACGATTGCAGGGGTTTCGACTTTCAGCTAAGAAAATGTGTTTAGCACCGCAAAGTGAAAGGCAGTGAATCGATGAATGGCATTTCACTGGATTAGTTAAGAATAAATCTTGTAGCAATTGATAAAGCCAGTAATCCTGATTGAATTTCAAAGAAGTCTATTCAGGGGCAGCAGGCGCAGTTGGACACCTTCAGTTGGGAAAAAATGTTTGAGTCCTATCTTTTATCTATCCATAAACACTGGCATGCGGTAAGAATAATACCTTAAACGATGGAAAATGGGTGATCCGAAGAAAGAGCCGCATGAAATGGGAACATCACTATTATTCGTAATGAAGCTGACCAAATCAAATAGACTGGCTGTACAGTAGATGGCACATCTTCAACCCAAGTTCATATATTACTTTGATGAATGGCTGTCGCGATTGAAGAAAGAAGATAAGTTCATTTGTAAACTGGACTTGTATACATCGGCCTTATAAATTCCTCGTTTTAATGGTCGGGAATAAATGGCAAAATTGAACTGGCTACAAAAAAGTGGCAGTCATAATCCAAAACCACAGTGATAGTTCTGCTTAGTACATCAATTTTGGCTACAACTTTACGTCGTGAAATGGAGAACTGTGGGAGCCGAGTGGTTAGCAGCTCCCACTGTCTCAGTCACGATGGTGAATTGCGACTGTGGGTGGGATATTTCCTAATTAACCCCGAGAAAGTCGTCAAGATCCTCAATATTAGTAAAGTTGTTCCACTTGGGGGCATCTGCTTCTTGGATGTAAAAAATGCGTCTCGATTTAAATGCTTGAGGTGGTAAATTTTACACAACTCAACCTAAAAGCGTTTGTATGAAATCCGCCGCTTCAAACCAAAGTGAAGCAAAATATACGGATAGCCTTAGGTAAAGCAGATGCAATCGTGATGAGGCTTTTGAAGTTTGCCGAAGAATATCACAACTACTGATGCAACTTATTCTTGTAGCTGAGGTAGTGGTAACTGCTGCCTCCTGGCCTTTCATAGTTCTCCACTTCATCACGTAAAGTTTTGCACAAAATTCACTTCAATTCTGTAGCTAATTTAATTTTATTACCATTCGTTATTACTTAAGCAAATAATCAAAACATTGCTGGATAAAACCATCAGTTTGCAATTGAAGCTGTTTCCTTCTTTATGACAGCTATCTGTGCTCTCGCGTCAAGCAGTCAATTCTTGCACTACCGGAGGCACGCTGCATGGTTGCGCCTAGTCGGTTGCCACACCCATTGGGCACTTCTGACCGCAAAGTTCAAAGCATGTGATCCCACTAATATCATCGTTTAAATACAGGCAAAGTTGCATTACAATAAGGCAATTCAACGGGCTCGCATGGGCATATATGCTTCCCTATGTACAATTTAACAACCACGATCTTTGCCACCTTCAAAACTCGGCACACCGCATTTCAATTTCGTATTTTTTTCAAAAAATTAGTGTCATAATCGAGATAATGGAGCTTCTTAAGGGTGGAATTAGGCAGATCATCCGGACGCTAAAACTTTTCTTTACCAATTTTAAAATGTAGACTTTCGTAAATGTTAAGGAGAGCAAAAATGAAGTTAAAAAATATCGATGGAGTTGCCTATAAAATTCATCACAATGGCATCCTTTCCAAACTGGACCGGAAAAAATCGAAAATCGCAACAAAGCTACTACGGCAGAAATGTTTAAAAAGACTGGCAGGAGGGCAGAGGAATCGCAAAATACTTATATTTTCTTCGGGTTTCGAACGATGTAAAATAGAGTCAAATAAAAGGCATATCCTGACAGTTTCGTTTTCTGGTCACACACCTTCGTAGAAGAGACCTACAATGGGAGACGAATGTTGTAATTTTACTTAAAGATGGGAATTCCATCAAAAATGACACTAATGTTAGTCTTCATGCTTCAGGAATTGTGGTTCCTGGTTCTTAATAGTGTCCTGGGCAATTTTGACAGCGGGTGACCAGAAGGGGAGGAATTGAAGTCGGAATTGGCGTGGGTAGGCTTCAACTACTGGCTAAAACCACGGACTAAGGCATCTGCCTACGAATGACTGTATCATGGCAATGGCATAGTGTGACGTGGTACGATGGGTTATGGGATGGTATGGCGTGGAATGATTGGGTGGAAGTGAGGGCAAAGGATGCGATGAGTGAAGACGTAACTTACCCGCAAAACAGCCAGTGAGGAAGCAAGCAATAGTACCGCCGACCATGCCCGCAAGCACCATCCTGGAGAGATCCTGTCGTCGGTGTGGCAGCATCGACACCATTGCGCCCAGCATGATACCGATGGAGCCGATGTTGGCGAAGCCGCACAACGCATACGTGGCTATCACCTCTGCGCGGTCCGTCTGTAGATAAGATATTCTGTAGATTAACAATTAGGCATATTGCATCAAAAAGACATTAGTAGAAAATCCTCCTAAGTTAGATTTATTTTACCCTTCCCCTCTCCCACCCCTAAGTCTTCTATGGACAGGCATGCAAAAACCTCGGCATCTGATGCACGTTCTTTAACATTGTGACCAGCTCTGGCACTTTTGATTACTTAAAGAATGTTCACTATTCAACTGCCACATATCCTAGTCATTGTATACCAAGGTGTTCAGTGAAGGATGGATTTGTGAAGATGAGATCAGCACATGTAATGTGAATCAGGCCTACGTGAAGAATTCCATAATCGAAGATGTATCTTTCGCCCTTGGTGTCGACGAAAATCCAGGAGCCATTATTTAAAACTTGTGTTGTTGAGTTGCCCCCAGAAGAGTTTCTGTAGATTGCGGAGTCCTTGATGAGAGCGCCGAGACGCTGGAATGCGACGAATTCATTCAACATGGTCTTGACACCAATGAGTTCTGCGATCTTGAGGCAGTCCACTGAAGGCACTCCCATAGTAAATGCGATAGGCCAGAGAAGGTAGGAGAAGACAACCTGGAAGGAAAAAAAAGGATGTGGAGGGGACTTGGGTGCCAGGGGGTGAAACAAGAGCAATGGGAGGAAATAGAGGCACTAACCTCAAATGTGAGATCTTGTGTCATGCAGGCACGGTAGCCAAGCCAGGTGAGTGTTTTATTGAAGAAGTCGTAAATACTGAGGAAGGCAATTAGGTTGGCTGCGATACCAGCAACAATCGGTATCGAGTCCATAGCACCGACCATAGCTGCTTCGAGAACGTTGTTGTAGGGACTCTTTACCTGCTCACAGGCCGCCAACTCCGCCAGTGGTGCACGTTTTGTCTCAGGATAGATGACTTTGGCTATGGCCAGTGCTGCAGGCGCTGACATGACACACGCGATCAGCAGGTGGTTAGCCGGTACCTGTGATTTTGTGAATGTGAAGGAAGATATGAGCAGATTTTTATTGACTTCGCGGTGCTTTAGGCATTTGACCAAGCAATCAGCTAACTTACACCGAAACTTATGTAGGCTGCCAATACAGAGCCCGCGACGGAGGCAAAACCATTAACGATGATGGCATTCAACTCGGAGTTGGTCATCATATGCATGTAAGGTCGAGTGATGAGCGGTGACTCAGTCTGCAGGAAGGTAACATTAAAGCGAATCAAAAAGTGTTTCATCAGTATAAACGAATAAAACCCCCTTTTTATTGTTTCTAAGGTGGCAATCAAACTGATGTAAGAAATCTACCAGCTGATTCTAGGTGGTGCAGCTCAACGCCAGGAGGCGACTCACCATGGAGACGAAGATGTTAGCGACAGCATTGAGGGTCTCGGGACCCGTGGTGCCGAGGACTTTGGTGGCCACCACTGAGGGCTTGTCGATTAGAATGCTGATGATGCCGAGATGAAAGGCCACCGAGATGAATGACGAGAAGAATATCACAACGGGTAACACCTACGGAGTCATTGCGAGAGGGCTTCGATTAATGGCTGAATTAGGTAGTGAAGAGATAGTAGAGGTGGGTGTGTGCAACAAGACTCACGTTGAAAGCAAAGAAGGTGAGGTCACCAAATACAAAAGACGAGCCAGCTGTACTGTGGGATAGAAATTCAGACATTCGATCACCCAAGAATTGAAAGACTACATATCCAGGACGTGTTTGGAGTGTCAACACAGCAAAAACTAACTGGACGAAGATGCCTCCAATAACTGGCTGCCAGTTAATCTGTTGGTGAAAAAAAGAATAGATGGAGATGTATTTCACTTTCAAGCCACTGCCATATAACAAGCTATGTAAATGCAATGTGTAGATGTATGCCTTCACACAATTCAGCGTACCTTGCCTGGATGCTTTGAGATTGCAATAGCAATGAGCAAAAGCACAACGATTCCGGAGAGCGAGATCAAATTTTGCACGCTTTTGAGAATGACGAAGAAGATGAGGCAAATAATGGTGAAGATACCCATGAGAGCCAAGACCACACTAAAAGGGTGATGTATAAAGAGAGTTTAACGTGTGGTGTGGTGCGGTGAGATGGGGTGAAGTAAGGTGAACGCTGAATGTTGGGTGGCGGCAGTTAGTGCATGAACGCTGAATATGATGGAGGCTTACATCTTCGTAGCAAGCTTCTTCTTCTTCTTCTGGGTTTTCTCGTTGGGGTCAATTTTGTCCCACATGGATTGCCAGCGGTTGTGGATACTATCCTTGAAATTTGTCCAGCCTTCAGAGATCTTGTCACCTAGGACGCCGAAGGGTGTGAAGCAACCACCGACCAATCGGCCAAGTCGGCTGAGTCGATGGCAGATTTTGACGAGTATAACTAACCACACTATCGCCGAGAGCCACACCAATCGAATATCATCCTCCGTAGCAAGCTTGTTGCAGACGATACAGTAGGCGACATAGGCAATATCGATAAGCATGAGGAAGATCAGGCCACAGAGACCGCCGATACCATCACAACACACCGGTTCGACATCCTCTGCTATGGGCTTCTTTTTGCAGACAAATTTACGACCATTAGAATACCATTGCAGCAAAATGTTAAGGCCGCGTGGCTGCCTCTTTGGTTTGTTGGGAAAGTCGTCGCCAACCCACTCCGTCATCGGCTTGTCTGGCGGCTTCTCTAGGCTTTCTTCATAGTCAGAATCGGAGGAGTCGGAGAATGCAGAACCCTCAGAGTCTGAGACCTATGAGAACAGCATCGAGAATATGTTATTCTGGAGGTGTTGAGGAACAAGAATATGATGGTTTGTCTGTGTGTATGCACCACCAAATTTATGCGACCGCATTTACCTCTTTCTCATAGCCAACTTCAATGTCATCGTCTGTCTTTTTTGGCGACATTTTGGCACTGTCGTATAGAGAGGACAGAGTCAGTGTGCTTTTTATGCTCAAAGCGTACCAATGAGCTAGGTGATACGCTGGATTGTTTTCTGAGTTTTGTGTTAGCGTTGTAGTGCGCAATTGAATCGATGGGTGTAGGTGGTTGAATGGGTCATTGTGCTTTTCGTAAGAGTTCATTAGGCCCACGCCCTTACATCGCAAATCTTGCCAGACACGCGCCATTAATTCTGTCTTCCATTCCTGCGTTTTCTTTGTATTAACTTGGCAAAACCTCCTATTTATTGAGAAATTTACCTTGAGGTTTACCTTGCCGCCTATTGTATACAACGTCTGTATTAGGTATACGACTCCTTCGGTGATGATATTTTGCCTATTAGTTTCTTAATTTTTATTTACCTAATGACTTTTGTCCATGCATAAACTTCCAGTGCCATCTTTTGTTGGTCTTATCGATGCTGCAGTCTTCATAGTTCCATGACAGGTAAGTTACTTCAAAATCTCGTTAAATAAAGACTCTAAACTACTCTTGGGCCAGAAATGCAAAAAAATAACCACATCATGGGCATAAAATTGAGATTGCTTTGATATTTTTCTTATGGGATATTCTCACACAAGGCGATCACGCGCCTCTGTACCTCACCGACAGTGACTATCTCCCTAGTTGGAGATTTGTGAAAAGAGATGGCTGCCTGAAAGGTGTATGGCTTTTTGTGCGTTTTCAAGCATTGTTTTGGCATAAACTTAAAAGCGGAAACACATAACTGCCGTGAGGATCATTTGGGTGTAACTCAATCACGTGCTCCCTTGCAGGGTACTTAGCACAGATCCACCTCTTTCCACCCACATTTTGACGATTCAGCCTTAAAAGCACTTTTCTTAAAGCACTGCTTTCCTGCTTTTTAACTAGTCTTTGAAATGTCACAACCTGTATTTAATATGGATCGACCATGGTCAACAAAAAAGTGTTTAAATAAACCCCTCATAATTGAGAATTCGTACTCATCTGCTAAATTTCACCGGCTATATTGCCGCCGATCATCCCGCCGACGAGCATACTTGTCAAGTCGGCTCGCCGCTGGGGAAGAATGGTGACCAGGACGCCGAGGAGGATACCAATGGATCCGATGTTTGCAAAGCCGCAAAGAGCGTAGGTGCCTAGTACTTTAGCTTTCTCAGTCTGCAAACGGACGATGTGAGTGTGAGTAAGCCTAGCTCCTAAATATCTCATCCTCTATCTGACGACTATCCACATTCACTATCACTGTTAGCGCAATAACTACAATAATGTGTTTTAACTTGGTGGAGAAATGCACCTCCTTTGTGAGCCAAGTGAGACCGGATTGCTCTGAGACAATGATTCAAAGAATTTGGATTGACCAACTAAAAGCCACATAAAGTTCCTTCTAAGTGGAATCGGTGCTGTGATTATTTCCTCCCCACATTTAGGATGACACAAAAATCGTCTTTTAGAAAGTTGGCCCATTTGGTTGCTCCTATCTTTACCCATTTTTCGTTGTGCAATGTATGATTTTATACTGTATGATAATATTTTATAAATCGACAGCTGACTAAAGTCAAATAACTCTTCCGATTTCAAGATAACCGCATTTGGTGAACTTGGATGGGTTTAGCCGCAGTTCAATGCGAATTACCGGCATCGTGGATTGCTATAACGAAACCTGCTTTTCTCCGACATCAGAAAAGTTCAGTTTAACAATTTTACTCACTTTTTATTTTGCAGTGTTAAGAATGTTTTCTTAGCTGAAATGCAAAACTCCTATCGTCTCTGTCAAACTCTAATGGGCCTCAATTCGAAACACCCTAAAATGTGGTATTTTCGGGCATTACATAATGACAGAAGATACAAACTGACCTAAGATTTTGGAGGCTACTGCTTATTTGTGCAGCTTGTGATGTAACTTTCCGATGCCGGAGTCATCTCTTAAAAATGATCTTGCTGACGAACAGAGCACCGTATTTTGCAGTTACGTTTGTTCCGTTTTTAAGAGTGAAACCCCAATCACCATTTGGGAGGAAGCTGATGTTCATGCTCGTAACTCGGTCTTTGAGTAGTTTCATGTTTTGTATTATCACCCTTACATAGAATAAAAACTTGTTGATCTCAAGCTATCATATAATACGTGCTTCATGATTAATCAGCTTCGCAGAAGCACACTGTTTGATGGCTTTGTGAGGTAACAGGTGATGCTGTTTTGTAGGATTTTATCAACCTCAAATCATTAAGAAAGGCGCAATTTACAGAGCCGTTGATGGCTTGCAAATTCGTTCAGGAATACCTTCACACCGATTAATTTTAGCCACTTTCAGGGCGTCTACCATAGGAACTCCCATGGTGATCACAATGGGCCACAGAACATAGGAGAATATGACCTATTCAAAGAAAATATTAAATAACTTATAATAATGCGCCTCTTCTTCGAAGAATGCTACCTTTAAACAATCCAACAGTAATTTGAAAAGGCCAATTTTTAACAAGAACTTGGAACCCTACGCAAATTACACATCATTGCTAACATTTCCTCCTTCTCACAGCAGCTTTGGAAACAACTTTTATCGTGTAGACTAGCAGAATGACAATTATTTGCTACTCTTATCACAATATTTAAAACCAGCTCATTTCAAAGGTTAGATCAAACTCCAGACAACCACACTTTCCCAGCCAAATAAGAATCCTATTAAAGAAGTTGTAGATACTGAGGAAGGCAATCAAATTTGCCGTGATCCCCGCACAAATCGGGACCGCCTCCATGGCATTAACCATTGCAGCTTCAAGCACACTGTTGTAAGGGCTGAAGGGAGGACAAATAGAAAGCACAGTTTAATGCCATCAAAAGAGTAAGACAACTGAATGTCTGGAACACCACCTCTTCAACTTGAGGCTAAATTCTGAACTGGCTACAGGCGAAATTTTTGTCTCAGGATATATAATTTTGGAGACGGCAAGGGCAGCAGGAGCAGATATGATACAAGCAATCAGGAGGTGGTTTGGCGGAACCTAAAGGGTTAAAAGTCGTTGCTTTGAAAGTATCTGTTGAACAGGAAAGATTTGGGAGTGGAGGCGCTTCTTTTTACCTACCCCAGAGCTAATAAATGCGGCTAGGACGGGGCCTGCAATTGAGGTGAATCCGTTGAAAATCATTGCATGAAGCTCGGAGTTGGTAGACATGGCTGAGTACGACCGTGTAATCAGTGGAGCTTCTGTCTAAAAGGGTAAATTCCGTTTACTTTAGTTTCAAAAACCACAAATTAGTAAGTCAGAATTTTTCTTAAAATTAGTAGCTGGTTTTAAGTGGAGTTGGCTTTTAAGCAATCAGTTTTTTTAATGAGTGTTTTTGCCATCCTGCACAAAGTTATTTACAGTAGTTGTATTTATTTACCACTGAAAAGAAAGTATTTGCGATGGCATTGAAAGTCTCTGGACCTGTCGTTTTAAGTAACTTACCCGCAAAGCTAAATGGTTTGTCGATTATGAGTTGGATAATACCCAGGCTAAAGCGGATGGACATGAAGGCGGAGAAGAATATAATCACTGGGAGGACACAAAAGAAATTTGCATTATATTGAAATTTCAAATGAGGCGAACTGCGTAACTTTGTCGTTAAGGTACTCACAGAGAAGGCGAAACAGTCCGATGCACCAAACACAAATCGAGACCCAGCCAGACTGTTTTCGAGAAATTCTGCCATTCGCTTCCCGAGGAAGTCAAATGTAACATAACCTGCGTGCGTTTTGAGTGTGAGAAAGGCAACTAGCAGTTGGAGGAAGAAGCAATTGAGAACCGGTTGCCAGTTTATCTGGGAGTGCATATGCACCCAAGTGTCAAAACTGCTTACCTTGTCATTTTGACATCAGTATAAGCTCCTACACAAACAAACAAAAATGCTAGAAATTCAAGACTAAATACACCTTCCAAAAATCGAAATTTGCTCGAAAAATATCCTTATACCCAAAATGCTGACTATCATCTGAATTTCATTGTGACTAACTTCACCAACGCAAGCGACAAGGTTAAATTAATGTCAAATCTGACAATGAGAGTTAGTGGCCTTTGTGAGCAGATAGTAAAGTCAAGTAGCGATTTTTTTCACTGGAAAATGTAAAATTCAAATGGTCCAGATCAAAGGTTATCCTTACTTTATCAAGAAACTTTGAGAGAGCGATGGATATGAGAAGAAGAAGGCTGATTCCTGAGAGAGAGGTTAAGTTTACCACGTTGACCATTATAACGTAGTAAGTTGTGCAGGAAGCAGTGAAGCCCAGCATAATTGCTGCCATGATTCTACGAAGACAAATCGTGCAGTAATGTCTAGGCCTACAAACTTTAATTCATAAAAAAAAAACGATAAAATCTGACCGCTTGACCCAATTTCAAAGATGCGTTTTATGCACTGACAGGTAACCATCCAGTTATACGGCTGTTCAACGCATCCACAAAAACATATATGATGCATTAAGCACTTACGTGTTTATAACCAGGTTTTTTTCGCCTCTTAGTTTCCGCCTCATTACTAGGAAAATGTTTCCAAGTGGCTCTTTAAGGAGCCGTTAGGATGCGAATAAGATCATTAAAGAGAAAGTGATAAAACGGCGCCATCGGAGCAAATACCGTCCAACACCCTCCCTTCGAGCGTGCCAAAAGGACCAGCCTGCGCACTATCTTACCGAGAACCACGAACCAGAAAATGACCGACAGCCAGAGAAGGTGCACATCCCTGCCCCTGTCCAGACCTTTACAGAGGCAAGCGTAGATAACGTAGGCTATATCGACAAGTAGGAGGAAGAGAAAACCGAGGAGGCCCACGACACCGTCACAGCATATTGGTTCGGTGTCGTCTGCAAAGGGGCGCTTCTTAAAGAGAGCCTTTTGGGCGTCAGCGTAGAGCCCCAGCACCTTGTTTACACCCCTTCTCCCTCCATCAGGTTTGTTAGGGAAGTCATCCTCAATCCAGGAAGTGAAAGGCTTCTCCGAATATCTGAACTCTTTGTAACCATCGCTTGGTTCATTATTTGTTAGAGTAAAAGTTATGTCGCTCTTCTCTGCTTCATTGAGTTTCTAAAGGCAGTATCAGAACACTATTTTATTGACTTAAAGAAACAACAAGAGTAGGAAGAAATCACAAGGAATATATATCGAAATACAGTTTTTTTCTGCTTTTTGCCGTGCTATGTTAAAACAACTGAATTAACACTTAAATAAGAACACACCATCGGTTTTTGATCTTAATTTCTAGACTTAACCTAACTCGAAGGGAGGCTCATAAATACTTGTAGGCTTTGTCACTCTGACCACGGGGTAGACTTTGAGTATCAGATTTAACAAGACAGGATATGAATAAATAAAGTGCAACTCATTAGTGATTGGCGTCTGTCGTGGGGCAGATTACAATGAAGAACTCAATGGGGGATTTTATGATTGCTGTGTAGCGTCCCGAGACTCCCTGAAGACGAAAGAAGACACAATACTCGGGCAGAATATATATTCAGCGCAGAGAAGGTGTCTGGGCTATTCGCATGGCTCAAAAGGCCAGCCCACCCAGCGAGGTACAAAGTTGATGCCTATTGTGTGGAGTTCTCCACACCTTTTGTAGGCGGGAAAAGAGGTAACGTAAATATTTTGTGAAATGTTCATGGCGGTTTTCCCATATTTGAATAAAATGGGAAATAGATGTTGCCATTTTTGATTGTACTATCAAGTGTTTTGACCACTAAATGTCACAAAATGCAGTGGTACCTCGGGTTGGGTTGAACTGTACATTTAGCTGCTTTATCTGACTCTGCCACTGACTGTCGGTGCTAGATAATAGCATGTCATTTACGTAGGCCTTACAAATTGTAAAATTCGCCATTACATTAGTTAACAAAAATGAAGGTAAGGGGTAATTTTCCTCACATTTTTATTCAAAAGATGGCAAGTAAATGTAGACAATTGGACTTATTTGAGCTCAAGGTGTGCAAGCGTCAAATAGGAGGTTTTGTTGTCTAGACTGTTATCTTTTTTGTCAAATCGGGCGTAAACACACTTAAAGTGATGTAAATCAGTCGTGGATCACTCGATGCATGACTTCAAAAGTGACTAGTGTAAAACTTTAATTGTTTGGTGACTCTCGGTTTTGGTAGCGGGCCACTTTGCGCTCCGCCGCCGCTGTACCTCCTTCAGGCCATACCAGTAGCCGGTAGGTCTTCTTTTGTCGTCAAGGCAGTCTCGGGTGGCTACAACTACGACAACTAAATGAGCCCACGACATTTTTAAAAAGCACCCCTTAAAATATTTTAAAATATCAGGATTCTGGACTCCTTCAAACGAAGAAAAAGTCTACTGTTATTGACAAAATCCACTATATGTCCACCATCCAAGTGAATATGCCACATTGAAATGAGGCGAACAATTATCTAATATAATAGCTTTTAAAAAAAGGTAAAGAAGGATTTGGAAATAAGTCAAACTTCCTACAAACCCTTGATTAATCCCTCTTCAAAGTGCTTTAATTAATCTCTGATAAGTAGTTAATGTCTACATAACAGTGACGTAACAATGTTAGAAGTGGAGAGGTATTATAAAACCTCCATAAAAACGATTTTATTCAGAAAAAGTGGTAGAAGCGAGTTCTTAATTAAAGCAGCTACACGCCCATGTGCATTCCACACTGTGACGCGTAAGTATGGTT